AAAAAAAAAAAAGAATCAAAAGTGAGATAGAGCCACCAAGTGAGTACATGCTGTTGGCAAAAGGGCACTGAGAGACTTGCTCAACTCAGGGTTGCCACAAACCTTTGATTTGTAAAACAAATGCCGTATTTCTGCAGGACAATAAAGTGAAGCACAGTAAAATGAGGACGACAGACTCGAATACTATTTCCCAATATTGAGAGCAAGAAAACAAAGCCACAAAGCCCAGGGTTTTCACATTATATTATCCCCAAGTAAATAAGAGGCAGATTACAATTAACTGTGTAATTATCACAGTATGTAATTTTTTTTTTTTTTTGAGTTAGAGTCTCACTCAGTAGCCCTGGGTAGAATACCTTGGCATTGTCATAGCTCACAGCAACCTTAAACTTTTGGGTAGCTCAGCCTCCCAAGTAACTAGGACTACAAGTGCCCACCACAACACACCGCTACTTTTTTTTTTGGAGACAGAGCCTCAAGCTGTCACCCTGAGTAGAGTACTGTGGCATCACAGCTCACAGCAACCTCCAACTCCTGAGCTCAAACAATTCTCTTGCCTCTGCCTCCCAAGTAGCTGGGACTACAGGCGCCTGCCACAATGCCCAGCTATTTTTTGGTTGCAGCTGTCATTGTTGTTTGGCGGGCCTGGGCTGGATTTGAACTCATCAGCTCAGGTGCATGTGGCTGGTGCCTTAGCCACTTGATCCACAGGTGCTGAGCCCACACTGCTACTTTTTCTATTTTTAGTAGAGACAGGGTCTCACTCTTGCTCAGTCTGGTCTTGTACTCCTGAACTCAAGAAATCCATCTGCCTCAGCATCCAGGAGTGCAGGAAGCCACCGCACCCAGCCTGTATATAATTATTTTTAAAACTCATGCCCACATTCTAAGAAAGGACTTGGGACATACATAATTTTAAAGATGGTCTAGTGATGCCTTTAACTTTCTTTCTTTTTTTTTTTTTTTTTGAGACAGAGTCTCACTATGTCGCCCTCAGTAGAGTGCTGTTGCGTCACAGCTCACAGCAACCTCCAACTCTTGGGCTTAGCGATTCTCTTGCCTCAGCTTCCCAAGTAGCTGGACTACAGGTGCCTGCCACAATTCCCAGCTATTTTTCATTGAAGTTGTCATTGCTGTTTAGCTGGCCCGGGCCGAGTTCGAACCCGCCACTCTTGGATCATGTGCCTGGCGCCATAACCACTGCTCTATGGGAGCCAAGCCACGATTCCTTTAACTTTCAATCAGAAACATATTTGATTCTACTGGTCACTTTGGTGTGACAGTGGATAAGTATGTTTAAATGAAGTGAAATCTGTATCATAATTAGAAAACAAATTCCAGTCAATAAATTAAACTTTACTGGGTTCTTGGGAACCACTCTGAACATTGTAAATTCTTCATGGTGTTCTGCCCTAATTATGAGTGCTGTCAAAGTAACAATAATAATTGGCTCGGCGCCTGTGAACTCAAGTGGCTAAGGTGCCAGCCATACACCTAAGGTGGCGGGTTCAAATCCAGCCCGGGCCCACCAAAAACAACAATGATGGCTGCAAGCAACCAAAAAAAATAGCTGGGCATTGTAGCGGGCGCCTGTGGTCCCAGTTACTTGGGAGGCTGAGGCAGGAGACTCGCTTGAGCCCAGGAGTTGGAGGTTGCTGTGAGCTGTGATGCCACAGCACTCTACCCAGGGGGATAATTTGAGGCTCTGTCTCAAAAAATAATAATAATAATAATCATGATTATGATTTTCCCTTAAAGTTTATACCCTGTTAATAAAAATTAAAACCGAAAATTACTTTGAAATTTTTGTCTTTTTTTAAATCTTGAAGCTTAAAAGATAATTTGCAAACTTTGTAGGCCTATATTTTTTAGAGATCTGTCAACTAGGAAAACTTGGGTATGACATTGTGCTGCATAAAAACCAAAGTGTTTAATCAGCACACAACCATGGGAAAAAATGTCTCCTATGAGGAAACAAAAGAACTTCCACAAAATCAGTTTAGTTGAGGCCAGCTGGTTATTGTTAACTATTCAAGAAAAAGTCAGAGAGGCCCTCCCTTAAAACTTCCTTCCCAGCAGGAATTCTTTTGACAATGACTTCTGTTTAGGGTCTTCCTGTCACTGTGTGTGTGTGTGTGTGTGTGTGTGTGTGTGTGTATGTGTGTTTTAATGCATCATTAAGGTAAAGAATTGTTCTGTGTTTAGATTTTTTGAAGGTAATCATACCTCACATTAATTTTAATAGCACACCTCTAATTTCAAGGATTAACATTTTTTATTTTGTTTCTCCTAATGGTTATCATTGATGTGCATATGACATATAGATCAGAAACCAAAATTTGATTTCAAGGTGAAGACCATTTCCAGATGCTTCTTTGGTTGATTTTCCACTCGCTTCTCACTATATCACATGACTGTATCTTGTTTTTGCTATTGTTGTTTTCACACGTATGGTTTGGTTTTAATTCAGTAAAGTACAAAACTGGTGTGATCTTTGGAGAGAAAAGAAAATTTTTAAAGAGGAGGAGGATGTTACTGAATCAGCCCAAACAATTTTTTTTTACAATGTTTTTCTTTCTGCTTCCTACAAGGATTATTTAAGGATTTAAATAATCTTAAGAGACACCTCACTTTACAACTCTTCTTAATTGTATCCTTTTCCTCCCAGGCGACCATTTGCCTAAATCTTTGGAAGGATTTTTTATCTATGAAGAAGAAGGTTCTGGAGTTCCAGGTTCTAGTAGGAAAGGAAATGATGCCATTGTAGTAGAACAATGGACCGTTGTGGAGGTGAGTTGCAGTTTTCTGACAATTTAGCTTTATTTTTGTGTTTCATTTTATGTGTTAAAAATCTTCATTGCCTGGCACATGCAATATTCTTATTTATTCGTTGTTTGCAGTTTCATCACAAAGGCAGGAACAAATTTCTCTTAGTTTTATGAAAAGTACATTGGCTTTACCCAATATTAAACTTCTTTGTAAGAAAGCAAAATAATTATCTATACATAAGTAGCAGTAGATTCCCAAATGTTTGGCATTCTAACCCTAAACCAAGTCCCCTAACACTGAGATTTTCTTCATACAATTCTATGACAACTGGTAGAAAGTGAAAACATTCAGTCACTCAACTAGTGTTTTATCTCCAAGCCACCAACATGACTGACTTTATTTTAACCTTATGAATTGACTTTAGAAGGCAAAAATATCCAAATGTGTTCTCTCTTTCACCAGGCCAAATGTGTACACACAGCATTGTCCTTCCTAATCAGAGAGGACATTGCTCTGACGTTGTGCACTCTGACTTCAGATGGTGCGGAACAGGCTGCCCTTGAGGTGTGCAGACTGAGCTCAGGTCTACTCTGTTGTGTGTACAAGGCCCCCTCTGAAGGAGTCTTTCCGGGACACTTCTGCCTTTCAGACATTAGACATAGCCCATTTTCAAAGAAACTAGAAATCCCATCGAGGGGGGAAAGGATGTTGGGAAAGAGGTAAAGCTCTAAGTAAAAATCAATTCCAAAGAACAAAAAGCGGTGAAAAGATTCCTGCACACAAGCTCTTCTCCCCTTCACTACTCCCTCCTCACTTACCACTATTGTCCTCACTTCCCAATTCCCAGTATTTCTGCAAGTATTCTCAGTAAACTAGTTGGCTCCAAATTCCCTGTGGAGCTCTTTTTCAGATGCAGATTCCCAGCCAGCCATCTATACTTTAAAGTTCAAGAACCACTGCCCTGGCCAGGCACAGTGGCTCACACCTGTAATCCCAGCACTCTGGGAAGCCCAGGCAGGTGGATTGCTTGAGTTTAGGAGTTCGAGACCAGCCTGAGCAGGAGCAAGACCCCATCTCTACTAAAAATAGAAATAACTAGCCAGGCGTGGTGGTGGATACCTATAGTCCCAGCTACCCAGGAGGCTGAGGCAAGAGGATCACTTGAGCCCAAGAATTTGATGTTACTGTTAGCTATGATGCCACAGCACTCTACCCTGGGCAACAGAGTGAGGCTCTGTCTCAAAAAAACAAAACAGACAAAAACAAAGAACCACTGCCCTAAGAGTGCCCTAACCACGGCTATGGGAAACTTCAGAGAACCTAATATAAACCACTCCCAGGGTTTCTAACTCCACTCAGTGGTTAAAAACTCACAGTGGTGAAACATGAAGCCCATTCATTTTTTTCTTTTTTTTTTTTCTGAGACAGAGCCTCAAGCTGTTGCCCTGGGTAGAGTGCCGTGGCATCACAGCTCATAGCAATGTCCAACTCCTGGGCTTAAGCAATTCTCTTGCCTCAGCCTCCCAAGTAGCTGGGACCATAGGCACCGGCCACGACGCTCAGCTATTTTTTGGTTGCAGCTGTCACTGTTGTTTGGCGGGCCAGGGCTGGATTCAAACCTGCCAGCTCTGGTGTATGTGGCTGGCGCTTCCTTAGCCACTTGAGCCACAGGCGCCAAGCCCCATTCATTTTCTTTTTCTTTCTTGCTTTCTTTGTTTTTTTTTTTTTTAATTAAATCATAGCTGTGTACTCTCATTCATTTTCAATGGAAAATGAATTCCCCTTGATTATTATCATGTAGCTGGTTGTCTTTGCCATTAGACTGTGAGCTATACACTTACTCATGCAGGGCTGTGGAATCAAAACGGACTATGGCCCTCTGCTGCACACTCTAGCTGAATTCGGATGGCTCCTGACAAGCGTGCTGCCTACGCCTATATTGAGACAGGACAGGTAATGCAAAAGCATCCTTACATACTCTCACTTAATTCTAAAGTAAAACTTCATTAGATAATTCAATTTAACCAATGCTTACTTAATGCCTATAGAAAACATTTACAGACTTCTAATTTGATTTCCCGGATGTTGGAGATTAGCAAATCCAATGTCTGCATGTTACAGATGTACAAGCTGTCTAGCTCTTCTAGTTCAGGTTGCTGTTGGACTCCTGAGCTCAGGCCATCCGCAGGCCTCAGCCTCCCAGAGTGCTGGGATTACAGGAGTGAGCTGCCGTGCTCTGCCAACATCATTTTTTCTTTCAGACTATTATAAAAGAGCATCACCTTGAATTCTTCAAGAGAAAAAAGATTGGGCCCATTGGTATTATCACATAGTGATAATAATTAAGAAGAAATTCTGGCATGTTTTCAGGGCCAACGATAACTCTGGAATAATAAGTAATATCAGATTACAACATCATGATGTTTCTATGGTAATGCAGTTTTAAACCTGGATGTGTGATACTGCCTAGGAAAATGAAGTAACAACTTTAACCCATGGACACACTGGAAAAATATGTTTGTATAATCCAATCATTGGATATATCTGAATGATGAAGTAAACGAGGGGAAACCATCTTATGTATAGGTCATTCAAGTATGGCTTAGGTGACAGAAGAGAAGGAAAAAGTTGATATTGCTTAAGACACTACTGTTATATTTAAGACAAACACATTTAAGGAAGAAAGTTTTCACTGACAGTGGTCCTAAGTTGTTTTCAGACATGGAGGCCCCAAGACAGATCAGGACAGGAGTTTGTTTTCCTGGATTCAGCATGTGTGTAAGGATCCATCTTTATAATGTCATTATTTATTTCTGTTGCTTATTTTGCCTTGCAGTCCCCAGTACTGATTTTGTATATAGTGAATTACACTATTTACATTTCTGAAACATCTTGATTTAGGACAGACCGAGCTATTGCACTTGAACAATTGGTTTCAATTTATTAGGGATTTTGGGTCAGCCAAAGATAAGGTCCCAAGGTAATAGCTCTAATTTATTCGCCTAATTTGTTCAAAACTTTCATAGGTACTTTACATATATTATCTCTCTTAATAAGGTATATATTATTGTACAATTTTTCAGATAAGGAAACTGATGCTTAAGAGGTTAGGTGACTGGACGGCATCTATGGCTCAAGGAGTAGGGCACCGGGCCCATATACCGGAGGTAGGGGGTTCTAACCCGGCCCCAGCCAAAAAAAATTGCAAAAAAACAAAAAAACAAACAAAAAAAAGAGATTAGGTGACTTGCCCAAAGTCACATAGCTAGTCAATGGTGAAGCCATAATTCTTAGAGGCAAATTTGGTGGAGGACTAAATTAACTGAGCCAGCAGCTAATATTGTTGAATTTAAAGTCACCAGCCCGAGTGTGGTGGCTCCTACATGCTGGGAGGCAGAGGGGGGAGGATAGCTTGAGGTCAGGAAATGGAGACCAGCCTGAGCAAGAGCAAGACTCCATCTTTGCCAGCCTGGGTGACAAAGTGAGGCCCTATCTCAAAAAAAGAAAAAAAAATCACCAAAATAAAAGGGAAGGAAAAGCCAAAGTTGCTCTGTTTGGCGACCACAAGATAGCAGGGTTGCTCTCCTCTCCCCCACTTCTGATGCAATAGTAATCTTGGGGGTGGGGGCAGCAATGTACATTGTAACAAGAATACCAAAGTGATTCTGATGTACTTTCAGAAACCCTGAAAAGGGCTCAGCACCTGTAGCTCAGTAGCTAGGGTGCCAGTCACACATACCGGAGCTGGCAGGTTCTAATCTAGCCCAGGCCTGCCAAAGAACAATGACAATTAGAACCAAAACATAGCCGGGTGTTGTGGCGGGTGCCCATAGTCCCAGCTACTTGAAAGGCTGAGGCAAGAGAATCACTTAAGCCCAAGAGTTTGAGGTTGCTGTGGCTGTGACGCCATGGCACTCTACCTAGGGCGACATAGTGAGACTCTGTCTCAAAAAAAAGAAGAAGAAGAAAAAAAAAGAAACCCCAAAAGTACCTTATATCGGGAAAGTGAAAGGAAGAGAGAGAAACAGTTAAAGAGAAAGACAGACAAAGAGAAAGAGAGATAGAAGACAGGAGCGGGGGAGAAGGAGGGAAAGGGAAAGAAGTTTAGAATACAGGACAGAAGGAGGGTGCACCTCCTCCTTTACATCTCAGAAGACAGAAGTCAAAGATGAGGGTTTTTTCCTGATACTGAATTTTGATCACTATTAAAAAAAAAGATGAGGGCTTTTTAGTATAGTTGAATCAAGTTGTACTATATAGAGAATATTAAAAAGTCTGTTCCCTAAGGACGAGTTGTGACTAGCAAGAGAAAATTGTCTTCTCACTGTGATGTCCAAGCCCTGCTTACCCCTCCCATTTTCTGCCACCATTGTAGAAAAGACCCAGAAACTCTGTGGGCCACGCAGCTCAGAAGCATTAGAAGTCTCTGGAGTCATTTAAGACACTTAAATGTCCCAATAGTTTCTTCTAAATCCTCATGTGGCAGCCAAAGCAGTAGTTGCATAGTTATATACATACAGGCCAGGAGACATTAGGATTTAGCCCATTTTTATGTAGTTCTCTTCTATTTATGATTTAAATTCTATAGAAACAGTGTCATATAATTCCATCGTGAATTAAGCACATAGTAATCTTGCTGTGAGCAGCATTTTGATGGCCACATTCTTAAAATAGTCCATTTGTCTATTATATGTGCTTCCAATTACCATCATTCTTCTCCATCTAAACTTAAATTTTTAACATTTAGTGGGGTGGGGAGGGTGGAGAGAGCTAAATTGTGGTAATTTTCTTTTTTTCTCTAGCTAAGCACATAGCTACAAAGTTGCAAACTAAAATTTAATTTTATAATTTTGCAGGGTTTTTTTTTTTTTTTTTTTTTTTGGAGATAGAGTCTTACTTTGTCACCCTGGGTAGAGTGCTGGAGCATCATAGCTCACAGCAATCTCAGTCTCTTGGGCTCAAGCCATCCTCTTGCCTCAGCCTCCCTAGTAGGTGGGACTACAGTCACCTGCCACAATGCCCAGCTATTTTCTTTTTAGAGATGGGGCCTCACTCTTGCTCAGGCTGGTCTCAAACTCATGGGCTCAGGCAAGCCACTCGCCTCAGCATCCTAGAGTGCTAGGATTACAGCCATGAGCCACCGCACCCGACCTTATAATTTTGCTTTTAAAAAGCAAAATTTTATGTCAACTTTTAAAACTAAGAATTCTTTCATTTTCTTATTTGTTTTGTTTTTATCCGTTTACTTTTGAGTGGCAAATGTTAAACTGTGGCAATTAATTAATGTGTAAGATGAAGCAAAATTAACAAATTAACCTAATAATTCTATTTCTTCTAGTCTAATGAATTGTGGAACCATAAAGAAAAGCTTTTTATAAGACTATCTGTGGGGCAGCACCTGTGGCTCAGTGAGTAGGGCGCTGGGCCCATATACTGAGGTAGGCGGGTTCAAACCCGGCCCAAGCCAAAAAAATAGCAAATAGCCAGGCGTTGTGGCAGGCACCTGTAGTCCCAGCTACTTGGGAGGCTGAGGCAAGAGAATCTCCTAAGCCCAAGAGCTGGAGGTTGCTGTGAGTTGTGAAGCCACAGCTCTCTACTGAGGGTGACAAAGTAAGGCTCCGTCCCTGAAAAAAAGAAAAGAATATCTGTGGGCGGGCATAGTGGCTTATACCTTAGCTCTCTGGGAAGCCAAGAGAGGAGATCTCTGGAGGAATTCAAGACCAGCCCAAGCAAGAAAGAGTGAAACCCAACTTTACCAGCCTGGGTGACAGAGTAAAACCCAGTCTCAGAAAAAAAAAAAAAAAAGATTCATGCTAGATATCAATGAACTTCACAGTTGTACAAAGACCTAGCAAGCCTTTTATCTGTTCTGCAAAACTTGCTCACTTGTTAAGATTTTTTTTTTTTAAGATAGTCTCATTTTGTTGCCCTCAGTAGTGTACTCTGCGGTCATAGCTCACAGGAACCTCAAACTTTTGGGCTCAAACAATCCTCTTGCCTCAGCCTCCCAAGTAGTGGGAATACAGGGGCCCGCCACAATGCCCGCCTATTTTTAGAGATGGGCTCTCTCTCTTGCTCAGGCTGGTGTCTAACTCCTGAGCTCAGGCAATCCACCTACCCTGGCCTCCCAGAGTTCTAGGATTACAGGCGTGAGCCACTTCGCCTAGCAGGATTTTTTTTTTAAATCATGTTCCCTGCATCAAAACCAAATGGCTTCTCATTCATAAATTCTTTGATACTTCAGCTATTTACTGAGCACCACTTCAGAGGGGGGATTTCTGCTATTAATGTGGAAGATGCAGAGATGAGAAGACAAGCTCCTCAGAGAGCTAAGATCTAGTAGAAGGAAAATGTGTACACCCCCAACTGTATTACCCGGTAAAGGGGATGAAGTCCCATCAGAGGGATTCATGGGAGCCCTGAAAGGGGTTGCTGCTTTTCAGTCAAAAGATTATTAAAGGCTTTATAAAGAAGTCATGATTGAAACTATGGCAGGATAGGAACAGGCAGAGATAGTAGAACGGACTTTCCAGATGGGAGAATGCCACAAGCAGAGATCAGCTACAGGACAATCAATCATGACCTTAGTTTTTATATTTTAAAGAATGTAGAAAGACTCAGCCATAAATTCTATGTACTCTAACTCTCTTTCAAAGATGCGTAAAATTGTAAGCACATACTGAACAAAGCAGAAATTCAGGTTGTCCTTGTAATTTCCTATAAAAAAAACAACTGGGGCTGGGTGTGGTGGCTCATGCCTGTAATCCTAGCACTCTGGGAGGCCAAGGTGAGAGGGAATATTAGCCAGGTGGGGCTGGGGGGACCAGACAACAGGCAGCAACCTGTCTGCCTCTGGGGAAGGTCCTACGAGTCAGATCCCCAATTTGAGATATGTCTGAAACTTCTACACCCCCGATTTTCTGAGAGTCATTCTGATTTTAAGTAAGTCTTGC